GCGTACTCTAAAACAAGGATATATTTTTCTTTATCATCTTTTGTTATTCCATAACATTTCAAAAATGATGGATATATTTCTTTAATTTCACAAAAGATTTTTAACTCTTTTATAAATTCTAGATGATCATTTAGTTCAAGTATTTTAAGCGCAATCTTAGTTCTGAAATTGCGGCTTTTATCAAACCAATTTGCAACATAAACAATTGCAAATCCACCTTTTCCTATTATCCTAATTACATTGAATTCATCATAAGGAATCCATGGTAATTGATATTTATTCTCGATCAACATTTTCTTTAAATCGTTATCAATGCCAGCCCATTTAGATGCACATTCATATGCAACTAACGTTGAATTTTTTACTCTGTTTATATATATATATATTGTAATATTAAATAAATGAATTAATATACTGAACAAATACAAAATTAAATAAAATTTTTACCTTCGATACCAATAGTTGGCTTTTTGTAAATCTCTTTCCACACCAATTCCATTTCGATAACAATCACCAAGTTTAATAATTGCATTCATATTACCCATCTCTGCAGATTTTTGATAATAAATGAATGCCTTATGCTTGTCTTTTGGGACTCCGATTCCATATTGATAACATGATCCTATTTGACTTATTGAAACAGAATTTCCCATCTCTGCAGATTTTTGATAATAAATTAATGCCTTATGCTCGTCCTTTGAGACTCCAATTCCATCATGATAACAATATCCTATATGATGTATTGCATCAGAATTTCCCATCTCTGCAGATTTTTGATAATAAATGAATGCCTTATGCTCGTCCTTTGAGACTCCAATTCCATCATGATAACAATATCCTATATGATATATCGCAGCAGAATTTCCCATCTCTGCAGATTTTTGATAATAAATGAATGCCTTATGCTCGTTCTTTGAGACTCCAATTCCATGACGATAACAATATCCTATTTGATTTATCGCAGCAGCATTTCCCATCTCTGCAGATTTTTGATCATAAATGAATGCCTTATGCTCGTCCCTTAAGACTCCAATTCCATAATGATAACAATAGCCTATTGAATTTATCGCATTAGCATTTCCCATCTCTGCAGATTTTTGATAATAAATGAATGCCTCATGCTCGTCCTTTGAGACTCCAATTCCATGATGATAACAATATCCTATTGAATTTATCGCAGATGCATTTCCCATCTCTGCAGATTTTTGATAATAAATGAATGCCTT